ATAGCAGATTTCAAATCTTCTATAAAATATGTAACTTGATCTAGGTTATTCATATCAGTTATTTAACTAACTATATTTCTGAATTTAGTACTATAATCTTGTACTGAATCAGTTTAGAAAAGGAGATATAATTAACTATGAAGGTATTATTAATAACATAGTAATTAAAATGTATTTCTAAGAGCTATAACAAAGATATCCTAGTTTTTAAATGAAATATTATTATCTGTCTTAACTTTATTAAGATATCAATATAATACTATATCTGTCAAGAAAATAATGATATATTATATTTGAGTTTTCTTATCTGTAATTTCTTGAGCCTGAAATATAATTTTAACTTGTATTATCCAGACAAGTATATTTTTATTTAGTTCTTTAGAATAGGTAAGTAGTTTTACTAAGAGATAGAGATGAGATGCAGGTTTAGAATCAGAGAGATCATCTTTTTTTATAATCTTAATTAATTTAGTAATACTTATCATGAATTGTGTAAATTATTTTGTATTTCATCTTTATTAAATTTAATAACAAAAACTAAGATATATATATATGAAGTATATAATGTGTAAGATATTAGAAAGTAATATTTATAATAACCATATCTGCTATTATCAAGTTGTAAGATTATTTTATTAATAATTATAAATAATATAAAATATAATATAAATAATTTTTAATTTTATAACTTATAATTATTTTTATTATTTAAAAGTATTCAGATTTGAAATAAAAGTATAAAATAAAAAGATCATATTTATAAGAAAAAAATGAATATAAAATGCAAATAAATTAATACAAATTTCTAATTTAAAATATATATGGATTAAACTGAATTAATTAACTTAATTCACATTTCTAGAGGATAACTAATTATAATCCAATAATTAATAATAATATAAATAATAATATAAATATAATAATAATAAAATTATAAAGAAATATTAATAATAAAAATAATTAAAATATTAATAATTTAAATTAATAATTGTAATACATATGATGATCATCTGGATAATAATGTACTAAATCTAAATATATTAAATACATAATAATTATCTGTATATCCAGAGTGAAATTGATCTTCTTAAAAATATAATACAAAGCTAATCTGTTATATAGATAGTGCAAAATGAAGATCTAAACTAAAAGAATCTAAAAAGAAATAATTCAATCAAAGTTGTTATAATTAATTATATTTATTTTTATTATAAAAATGAAATTTATTAAATTTTATCAAAATTTATTAAAAATTTCTTATACTTCTAATAATTAAACTTACTTAAATAAATATAAATAAAGTTTATTATAATAATTTAAAATATTTATTAGAAATTTAAAAAAATAAATTTTAAAAATTTTAATTAAAGTTTATTAGTTATAATTTTATTTTAGATTTTATAATTTTTTTAAAAGAATTATATTAAATTATAACTTATAAATTTTATTTTAATATAAAAAATTATTTCTTAATAAAATTTGAATTTTAATATAGAAATAAATCTAAATTTTTTTTCTAATTTAAAATAATAAAGTTATTATATATAAAATTAATTTTAAATCTATTTCTTATATAAATTTTTTAAAAAACTCATATAATTTAAATTTATATCTTGTTATTTATATTAATATTTTCAAGATAATTAAATTTTAATTAAAAATTATAATATTTTTAACTTTTATTAAATATTTAAAAAACTAAAAATATAATAAGAATTCTATATTTTTATTAATTATTTATTTTAATAAGCTAAAATCTTTATTTAATTTATATATTAATCTGATTTTGATTTATTTTTTTTATTTTAAAAATTATTTAATAAGAATTATTATAATAAATTAATAAAATTTTATTATAAATTTATAAGCAAATTAAATTTAAAATGTATTTAATTATCATTTTAAAATATTTATTTATTATTTTAAGAAAAGTAAAGCTAAATAATTATAAAAGATATAATTATAATAATTTTTATTATAATTATTTAATTAAAAAACTCAAATTAAATAATATTATAAATAAAATTATAAAAGATTTGATTATATTTAAAATAAATTATATATAAAATAAAAAATTTTTAATTCAAAATTAATATTATAATTTAAAAAATTCAAATATTTTGCTTTTTACTTATAAGTTGAAAATATTTATTGTATATATTATAAAAATAATTAAATTAATATTTATATATTAAATATATAAATAAATAAATATTTAATTTATATTATAATAATATAAATATTTAATAAAATAATTTTTAATTAATAAACAAAATTTATATAATAATTAAATTATAAAATAAAATATAATAAATTGCTCTATAATATCAAGTTAAAATAAAATAAAATAAAATATAAAATAAAATACTATTTTCTTAGTTATATAATTTTTCAATTTTAAAATATAAAAATTATAATATTCTTTAAAATAATATAATATTATAATAATTAAAGTATTATTAGTATAATTATAAATTTGTGTCATAATATCATATTTTATCATTTTTTAATATTAACTCAATATATTATAATTTATAGAAATCTTATAAATATATTTGATTATGTGTTGTTTTCTAATAATAATTATTATTTATTTATTATTTTTTTTTAATATTTTTATTTTATGTATTTTTACTTTTTAATATGTGTTATTTTTAGTAATCGCTTTATTTCACTTTTTATCTTTTCACTTTTATTTCATCTTTTTTACTACTGATTTTATCATTGTATCTTTTATATATAGAAAAAAAAACTTATTAAAAAGTTAGAAATAATTAAAATTAATTACTTTTCGCAATCTGTTTCTTAATACTTCGTATATGATCAATTGTTGATTTGAATGTTGACTATGCCTCAGAGTATATATATCAGAAATCAGCCGTTCTTGATAGAATTGTTGCCATAACAAAAGTTTAATATGTACATGTGATTATAATAAATCCTTTAGAAAGGTTACTACATGTGCAATACACATTAAAACAAAAATTCAATGGTTGTACATGAATACATAATGGCATAATAATAAATTTGTGGAGCAGTTTGACCATTAATGTTAATGTTCGCATATTTTATTTCCTAAAAAAAGTTATTTGCACATTTACGTGCATAGTAATTACTGTAATAGTAATTTAGTTTAAAATTACCTATTACATGTATTATCGTGATTATTAAACATATGTATAATTTTCTCAAAGAAAAAGAAAAATGGGAAAGGGAAATCCGTCAATGAATAAAATTTTATCTTTTTGTGTTGTAATTTTTCTAAGTTTCTCTTCATCTAATCTTCGTTCTTCAAATACCGCATACACACATGTGTATAAGCCACTCAACGAACTTTCTATTGTCAATTATTTATAATCGTTATCGTTATCGTTTGAACACATGTTTAAATTTTTCACACGCGTCATTGTTGAATTTCCTTATTAGGCGGTAGGAGAGTCGAATATCAAAAAGAACATTGCCAAGCGAACAAAAGAAATAAAGAAAACTCTACTCGAAATATAATCCTTTCTTTATTTGTCCATTTATGGAAATTACCAGAGAACAATTTAAAAGAATCACATAGATAATGTAAAAGCATAAAAACCTTGAAGTAGCATTTAATTTCGTTTATCAAGTTAGATAAATATTCTAAATAAAATTTATCGAGAATTTGTATTTATTTTTTTTAAATTTTTAGGAATAAATACATTTTTGGTTGTTTCAAAGCAGGACTTTGAGAAATGAAAGACGACGAAAATGTGCTTTTGGGAATATTAATTTTTTCTTGTGATTTTTATTTTAGCAATTCTTTAGAACCAATAATAAATGAATCTTAACCCAGTAGCTATTTCCAGATATTATTTTACTTGAGATTCGGATACTACAAAAATAATCTCTGTCCTTACGCGAAACGGGTGCTTTTGAGTTATACTAATTGAATTACATTTCACTTTAGTGCGGATAACGGACGAGAGCCCTGATCCAGGAAGTAGTAACAACACCAGAAGCAGGAAAATTCGGAGTTAACGGTGATGTCTTTGATTAATAATGCATTCATTTACCCTTAATTGCTCTTTTTCAATGCATTTGTCATTTGCATTCACAAAAAAAATTTTTCATTTTGCGATTACATATTCAAACTTGATTCTTTAGGAGTTCTCTTCCGATTTTTTTTAGCTAAACGCTTTATCAAATCCGAAGAAAAATCACTGAATCGTCATCTACAACCTATCTAAAGACCATTGGCTAACTGTTATTGTTATCGTAGTATTAAATCGATCTGCTTTCACGATCAAAAGTAACAGAGTTTTCTTTTAGACCCCGAGTCAGAAAATTTTCTTACGTACTTCTATTACGTTGTTCTTTCAAGATATTTAATACCAATTTTGGGAAAAAATCTGCATCGAGCATTATAATAGAATGCACAGTGTGTACAACGAGAATTTCTCTATAGAAAGCTTCATCAATTCAGATCTCCATTAGGAATTTTCGCAAAATCCATAAAATTAAACGACTGTTGTGCGATTAATACACATACACATGGCACGACGAGATCAGAAGTTTTCTGGTAATTTCTATTTTACAATTGGTATTATTATTGACGGTCGAAGGAATCCGTAAAAATTTCTTTTTATTGGGAGATGAAAACTCCGTGGGAGTTATGAGTATTGATTGATGCAATTCGTGCAATAATATTTTTTTTTCAAAGCGGCGGCGCTATTCTCCGGAAATTTTAATCATGAGATAAGCAGACGCGCGTTCAATACATGCAATATGAATAGTAATCAACCAATGCTTTGCAACATTTGAAGTGCAAATGATATAAAGCATCTAACCATTTCCCTTTCTTCGAATGCTCATAGACTTACTACTCACATCCATTTTCCTTTCTTTCAATCCCTCAATATAAATATCATAAGGCCATTAAGAATATATCTCAATACATTTCTATATTATCCTAATAATATAAGCTGCGTTATTTATCAAAATAATAAAAAAACCTAAAAAAAAAGCGAAAAATGGCGAAAGACTCAAAATCCAATCTAGATCAAACCTATCAAACCTCAATAGCAAGGAACCGAAATACCCATGCATTTGGTTACCCACAAATTCAAAGACCTTACATGATGATGCCATTTGGACTTGATAGGCATCAACAACAATCCTACAATTTTAAATTAAAACAACTCTCGGACAATGACGATTTCGAGTATATCGGCCGTGAAATGTTTGTGGAAGAAGTAATCCCGTACGAACCGATTGATTTTCAAGACGGCGTTGAATTATTCCAAACATTTACGCCTTTTCGTCCTTTAATTGAGAATATAATTCGTTTTGTCGATTCTGCAAAAACTGCGTATCGTGAAGCCGAGCATAATCGTCAAGCTTGCGCTATTCTATTAGACCGGTTAAATTCAGCAAAATATGCCGTAGAAAGGTTAAAAACCCAAAAGTATGAAAAAATCACATTCTTCTCCAAAGGAAATTACAAGATTCTTTGGCAATTCCAAAAAAATATAGAAAAAATTTTAAATTTCATGGAAGCGATCTCACAAATAAAAGGAATCCGTAAATTCAAGAATCTCAGCGGTTATAAAATGATCGAAGAGCATTTTGAAAAGTTGACGACGGAGTTCGATGAACATATGAAAAGTTTGAATTTTACAACGAATGAAGATCCTCAACGTCAAAACGATAAAGATATTTTAAAGAATGATCTAAAAAAAATGCGTATTGTCAGTTATTAATTTTAAATTTTCGTGTGCTGTCAATAGCAATTAAGTTTTTTTTTTCGAGCAATTGACTAATCTTCGATGATAATAAAATATAAATATTCTAGTATCTCGATACTATCCAAGGTGGTATTACTACTCACAGAAAAGAAATTTCTGAAAATATAGAAGTAGTCTCTACACTTATCGAACTATTTCAACAACAACTTACGCATAATCCCTATGGTAAATCACAACAAATTTCCGTGCAAGAAGTTCTCGACGAACCTGAATTGAATCTCAAAGATTTTAGTCAAAAGCTCTCCTCGATTAAAAAAGTACAACGAAGAAAGCGTCTTAGAGACACAATAGATGTTGCATGGGTGGAGATAGAGACAAAGACACCTCCTCAGACTCATCTTAAAACGCAAATAGCAATTCTGAAAAAACTTCAAGACAGCACTAATATCATCAAATATCACGGGTTAGCGGAAGAAGCTGGGAAACGATATTTAGTCACCGAATGGGCCGAATATGGAAACCTTAAAGAAACTTATGTACGAAGAGGCCCACTGGAATGGAGAAGGAAACTCGATTTCGCAATTGGTATTTGTCGTGGTCTGACGTACTTGAGAGCTGTTGAAATTATTCATCATGATATTCGACCAGAGAATATTTTAATCACGAGTCAGATGGAGGCAAAAATTGCCAATTATGGATTTTTGCGTAATAATGTTAATGAGTTGAGCATTATTCGATATATAGCACCAGAAAGATTAAATGATCCCAGTTATCAAACTGATTTTAGATGTGAAATCTACAGGTATTTATTATCTTTTTGTATTGAGCTTCTAAAAATCTTTATGAATTTACACAAACTTTATTATTTAATAAAGCTTGGGGATGGTTTTATGGGAGATAGCAGAAGAAAGAGAACCATTGGCTAAAATTCGCCCTCAGGAGCTGCATAAAGTTTTAAGAGAAAATTATCGTGAGGAATTCAGTAAAAATGACGTGCCTGCAGCATGGAAAAAAGTCTACAGATCAGGTGAGTAATCTAGATTTGTATAATTTTTTTGCCTGTCGAAATGAATAGATTTCAAAATTATTTATTTTGAATAAAACTAGCAACCCACAAAGATCCTGAATTTCGCCCAACTATTACTGATGTTTTCAATGCGTTATACCCGGTCTGGCAGAAATTTAAGAAAGAATTTAATCCTTCAATAGAGGAAATAAATGAAGCATCAGCTTCTACAGAGACAATGCCCAGACTGGTTAGCGTTGAAATGACAGTCAACGAAGCAATTACAGAACATAGAAAAAAATCTGAGAATAGGGGTAAAATATTCGAATGTTTCAGTGAATACGCTGAACTGGGTGACCTCAGCGCAAAATACTGGAAAGGATATTATCTCTATTACAATGTTTTGGAAATGGACGATACAAATAAAGAAGAACGATTACAAAACGCTGCTAAATTGTTTCGCGAAGCTGCGGAACATGATATTCCAGAAGCTCAGCTTCGATATGGTCATTGTCTTTGGCGGGGTGAAGGGATCGAGAAAAATATTGATGAAGCGATTGATTATTTCCAGAAAGCCGCGCATAATGGAAATCACACTGCAATGTTCAATATCGGGAATATATATTATAATGGGATTAACGCTGAGAAGGATGAGATTAAGGGCGAATATTGGCTCAGAATGGCTGCATATGCCGGTCAACCCAAAGCTGTCGAAATGTGTAAACAGAAAAATATTATGTTGTGAAAATGAAAATATATTTGGGTTTTTTCTGGCGCAAAAATTTATTTCAAAAAAATTTTGATTAAAGTATTTCAAAAAAATTAAGATAATTTTGAATTTAAGCATACATTGATTTTAAAACAGTCTTTTAATATAAGAATTTTCTCAAAATTATGTTACTAAATAAAAGTATACCTTATTCTATGCAAATATACTTTCACGCCTCACAGAAATACTTAATCCTTTTATGATCGCTTTATTATTTTTCTGTTTACTTCTCTATTTTTTACAATTCGATGAATATATAAAGAAAATGCATTATCGTTATATAAATATTATCACATTCTTTATGTTTTATTTTCTAAATATATTTTACTGCACGTTACGATTTAAATAAAATAAATATAATATTTTTATTATCAGTATTTAAATATCCTTCCTAATCAAATATTTATATATATATAGTATACCAAATTTTGCAATAGCTAACGATAAAATTTTACTTTATAATGATGTTTATTGCATGGTGAAAGGCAAGTCGGAAAAATATTTTCATACAGAATTTAGCGTTAGTTGAATCATACGATTCTTTGCTTCCGAAGTGATTTATCAGAGTTTAACAAGAGCAAAATATTAACTAAGAATATGGAAATATTAAGTCATGCGATAACGATAATATATTTCCAGAGTGAAACTCACGACGCACAGCTAGCTCATAATGATTACATTTAAATGTAAATGTTTGTGAAATCGCCATCTTTTGCATAAGTCATTACTATTGAGTATCAGGTTTTTGGCAATTCTGTAACCATTTACGCTTTGTATATGTAATAGGTACTTAACTTTACAGCAATTCGAATCTGGCTTTATATTTTCCAATAAAAGAAGCTCATTTTATTTTATTATAAACGCCAGAGCTATATCTTTGAATTGTTCCAAAGTCTCCTGTTGCAAGAAATTTAATATTGATGAATTATCAAATAGAATTAAAATATGAAATGTTTTAATTTCCATGTATTCATTATTTATACTTTTTTAGGCTATTTATTATTCTAAATTCATTTATGATATTTTAAACATTTAGTACAATACTCATTTTTTGTATATGTAGCATTTACTACAACTATGCATGAATATGCACTTTAGATGTTTTAGATTATTGATACATGTATATGGAAGATATTGTCCTTCCATTTGTATTACTCACTTTCATTAGTATTGTCAGCAAATGACAAGATTATATTGTTTTGAATATATGTTTGACTTTTATTATTCGTGTTTGAATAATTACATGTAGTTTTTATATGATAAATTTTTATAACTTATTTTAATACTTTTTTTGACTCGCTGAATTATATGACCAAAGGTCACATATTCGACTAAATGAACTATAAATTCATGTAAGCCATTTAGATAGAATGTTGCCCTAATACAAATCTTCGTAGTTTAAGTTAATATCGATATACTGTATTTAGTTAGCTGGATCTTCAGCATCCTCGTTATTCATACAGTACTTACCATTTAGATCATAGTCTGAATTTATTTTGAAAACATAGGCGTTATTTTGGAAATTACTTACAATTTAACTGAGCACACTTGTAAATTGATTCGTCCAAACCAGACCGAAATTCAAAACCACCTTCTGTAAAACAAACCTTTCAAAGGAAAGGTTTAAATACTTTAATGAAACTGTCTATGTCTTTCTTTCATTAAACTATTCAGCTTCATAAAATTGAGGGTATCTTCAATACATGAAGCGTAATGCTTATTTCTTGACAATGAGCATATACGAATCATTAAATTTCATTTTATAACCTGAACCATCTTTGCACTTATTATTTTGACAAAGTTAACATTCGCGAGTATAATAATTGAAGCACTCATCACAACCATAATAATTTCGGCAGAAGAAAATTCACTGTAATCATAAGCATTCGAAATTTAGATTCATTCTTTGAATATAAACCAATCTGTAATTGTAGGTCAATTCCCGCATCAATATTGATTATTACATAGAACTTCCATTAATTTATTTGTTGAAATGACCTTGAAAAATGAATATAATCATGAAAAAACACTAATATCATCCAAATATGCAACATTAAAAATCCTATGGCAATCAATGCCTTTATTAAAGAATTATTAAAGGACTGAAAAAAATTATCGGTATGTCATTATTACTGTAAATTAATAAAATTGTGATATTCTAAACAACGGAATCCGATCTAAAACTTTTGTTTAGCATGAAAAATAAATCCGTACGATATTTCCTAATAGGCAAAGATAATTTTTAAGTACGTATAACTCGAGATGACCAATGAACACCTTCAATGTTTATTTAATTTACATACGTAATATCTTTCGAGATTAAATCTTAGCAATGATTCCAGAATCGATGGGCTTTCCCTTATATTGTACCGAGAGCGTTTTACCAACGATAATTTCAATAAGTCCAGGACCAGTGGCTTTAAAAGGTTCAGTGCCAGGGACATGGATAACTACACCAAGTTCAGTAAAGGTTTCACAAGAGTCCTCAATGCAAACAGAATAGTTATCAGTATTTTCGTCTGTGATGCCTTGATTGAATTTTCCATCAACTTCGAGATTTGTTGGGTCAATTTGAGTGAATGTAATTTTGCCGTCGAGTTTTGACAATGTGACAGAGGCTTTGTCACCGACTTCAAGAGCTATGGGATATGCGTGCAAGAATGTAAGGCAGATTGCGAGTAGAAGAGTTAGGGTTGCCAAAGTATTTTTGAACAACATTTTCGATAATCTTAAAAGATATTTAATAATTGAGGAATTGATTTATTAATGGTTTGAGCAATTGATTTATAGATTGCTTTCTAGAAATTGAATAATTAATGTATGGTTTGTTTTTTTCCAAAGGAATAAAAAACCTACTCTTTTTATATTTGATTTTTTCCTGGCATTTCACTATTTCTCGATTCGCATTTCTTCAAAAGTAAACCTTTTTGGTTTCGTACATTAAAAATAGTATCGTTTACCCAAATGAATGCTAGATTATTCTGATCAATTAGCGCGTGGCAATGATAATGAAAATTTACTTCGTAATCACACCGTCTTTGATCGAATGTAAATGTAAAATGATAACATGTACTGCATATGGAAACTCCATTCGGTTAATTGCCTAATCCGGCAATTCGTATTTTTCTTTCTATGATTCGAAAATACATGTACATGTGAGATTGTCATTGTGAATGTTCCGATCATCCTTTTGTAAAACATTAATCTTCGCAAAAAATTCTCCCATTTTAGTAACATTATCAGAATTGTGTTAGGCACCCGAATTTGTTTGAGTCCCGACTCGATGAGTCAATGGAAACAACAAAAAAGTTTAATCTCGCAATTTTTTCCATCAATTATAGTTACAAAAGAATTCAATTGTGAAGATAAGACCTTTCTAACGATTATGTTTACAATTCTAATAGTACCGCACTTAATGAAATGCTTGCTATGCTCACGAGAAAAGTGATATTAGAAATTTTTAATACTAATCTAGTTAGATATTTTTATTTAATGGCCTGTTTAACTTTTTTCTCAGTATCAAATTTTATATTTATTGTAAGAATAAAATAAACCGAATTTAGAAGAAACCTACTATAATAAAAAAGGTCAATGCACGAATAAAAACTGACATGTTAACATGTGTATAATTATTGGCCATTGTAATTCAACATACAAATTACGAAAACAATAAATTTTTTTGGAATATGACAGAAGAAATATACGTGACGAATCATTTTATATTTGAATTTGTATTTCTCAGTTTCTCAAAATCAAATTCATATCTCAAAAGATAAAACAAATTGTAAGCTTCGAAAATTTAGAATTCAACATCACAGATTAATGGAATGTAACGAAAATATAATGCTTTACAGATGAAAAATTATATTATATTTCATAACAGAATCTCTAACAAAGATAAACTTAGTTTTTTTTATAATAATAGTAAAAACTAAAGCATTATGATCTGTCACAAGAACTAATTTTTCTATTATCATTCATCAAGTTTTGATATTACTTTCTTTTACTGGAAGAAAATGGTTTTAGAAGAAATTAGAGCACCTAATTCGAATATATATTGGAAATGTCAAAGAATTACAGAATTGGGCGTTTGAAGATGAAGATTAATAATATTATATTGCTTTGAAATTTGAGTTAACACAGTTTTCGCTGTTTGTAATCAAATTATAGATATGATTTGAAGTTTTTCAAAAAAGAGATTTGCAAAAATTGTCTATATTATAAGGTTAGCATTAATCTAATAAAAGCAAATTTAAATAAAATTTATCTAAATGAAAAATTTCATATTGGTCATATTAAATACAAATTTTTCAAGCTATAAAGCCAAATCATAATATACTTGAAGTGATAACTCTTAAGATTTGGTTTTTTGATTTAGTAAATAACTAGGTAAGTAGATATAATAAAGGTAAAAAAAGATCAGTATTCTCAATAACTTTTAATAGTCTTTGAATCTCAAATCTGTAATATGGAATATTAGTAGAAAATATTAAAAAAGTATTAACAAAAACAAGAAAAGAATAAGAAGATGAATAATAACTTTAAATATATCTGTGATAATGAGCAAGATAGTAAATTAGATACTATTTTGAATGACAAATAAGCTATTGATAAGAAGAAAAATAATAAAACTGAAATTAAAATTCTAAAAAATTAAAAAGAAATAATTTATTTTCAATTATATTAAATATATTAAGAAATATAAAAAAATAACTTATTTAATGATAAATATTTTTACCAAATTTTTTATTTTTATTATATTATTATAAATTTTTTAATATTATTTCAATTTTTTATAATTATTAAAATATATAAATAATATTAAAGTATAATAAGCTAAATAATTTTGTTTATTGTCTTACTTTTTATTTTAATTAGCAAATATTTTTTGTATTTCAAATTCAAATTGAGTTTAGAAGTGAAAAGTATATACTAAAACAACAAATATTAATCATTTAAAATGACTTGACTATATATAAATTATAAATAAAGTTAATTTGAATTGTTGAGTAAAGCAAATAGTACAATATTTCTTGCCAAATTCATTTTCATCTCTTGCTTCTAAAATAGTTTCACTATTCACAAAGTATTTACAATGTGAACATTTAACTATTCTTTCTTCTAGTTTCAATTTTTATAAAGCTTCACTTTTAGAAAAGAATCTTTCTTTAGTAACAGGTATCTTTTCTGATTTTCTAATGTACTTCACTTCTAATCACCAGTCTTTAGTTTTATTTTGAGGTAAAATTGCTGACAAATTATTTGGGATTTTTATTTTAATATTAACCCAGATAACTAAATTATCAAAGTATTGAGAACATTCATATTTGAGAGTTGGCAACTTATAATGACATCAATATTCAGCTGCAGAATCTCTCTAATCAAAAGTTTATTGAGAATTTTGATAATGAATCTATTAAAATCTTCTTTCCAATTTTGAGTATTCTTTTCAGGTGAGAGTGGTATTCTTGACTTGTATTCTTTCTTCAAAGATTTAATATTTCTGACTTTAGAAACCAAATTTATTGTGAGATAAGAAACTTTTTCAAAATCTATATTATTAAATCATCTGGATGAAGTGTGAACTTGAGTTCAGAACTTATCAGATATCCAACAAAAAAAATTATGATCTTCTAAATCTTAATCTTTAATTTCAAATTCATTATCAATAGTTTCATTAAAGAATATTTCAGTATTATTATTACTATTTTCAGGCTGAGCATTTTATTATTCATGAATGAATTTAATTAACACTTTTTCTTCTTCTCTATTCCAGTCAAAGATCATTATATTCTTTTTAAGATCAATTTTAATATTGATCTTATTTAACTAGTTCATTCCTACTATAAGACTATAGGTTTGAGTTTCAATAATATCCACTTCTGCTGGAATTATAATTTTATCAATAGTAATAGAAAAGTTATCAATTGCTTCTAATAGTTATTTAAAATATTCATTAATATCAGATATAGAAATATTTGACTTTCATTAAATCTTTATTCCAAGTCATTTAAGAAATTCATGGTTAATAACATATTCTAATGCTTCAGTATCAACAATTAAGTTTACAAGAGTCTTTTCAACTTTGACTTCACATCAGACTGAGATAGTTTTAATCTTCTGAATAAATATTATTTTTTACTTAAGTTTTTTCTGTGATTTCTTTCTTATTTCTTTTGATATTTGGATTTTTTATTAGATAATATCTTGATGAGCTGGACAATAGTTATATTGACTTTTGAGATGCCTAATCTTCAAGTATATTATAAGTTTCTGCTTTCTTTACTAGAATTAAAAGATAGACTTTTCCTTTCTTTTATTTCTTCTTTTCCAAAGTGATCTTATCTTCTTTAAATACTTTAGATAAGAGTTGAATAAGTTTATTTTCTTTTTCACTTTCTTTTTCTTCTTTGATAACTCTAGCTCATTTTCTTTCTTCAGCTAGATAATTATGAGTTATCAATAATGAGAAACTAAATTGGATAGATAAATTACTAAATAGTCCATCACTGGATGCTTACAAAATAGCTATTAAGTTCTGAATTTGGGCAAGAAAAGAAGTAGTATCCAGATTTTGTAAATGATTAAATTACTAATTATTGCTTTAGATATTCTGATTTTGCTAATTATTATTATTACTATTATTATTTTGATTCTGATTATTTTAATTTTAAGATGTATTTTAATTATTGAACTGCTAATTAACAGATTAAGAGTTATTTGGATATACTCTACTGATATATCCTTTTTCTTCCAACTATAATAAATAATAGTGAATCTGTTATTTGGCTGATTTTATTATTGATTATTATTATTATTCTGATTATTCTACCTTTTACTAGATTCTACATAATCTAATCTACTAGTCAAATCTTGCAAGATCTTAACTAGAGCACTTTATTTGTCAGTTAATTAAGCTTGTATTTGATAATAGATTTGTTTAAGTAAGTCTAAATTAACTTCTTCCATATTTTTTGCAATTTCAATAATACTTTCCATTATATCTTTAGCATTTAAGTTAACTCATTTTCAAATTTTAGATTTTAGATTTTTCTTGAAAATTTGAATCTTGTATTCTTTTAAATATATATTCTCTGAATTTATTTTACTTTCAAGTTCTATAAATTAATTAATATATTTTTCTACATTTCCAGTTTACTTTAGAGATTTTAATTTATCTTACTATTATTGTATCTTATAAGATAAATGGAATTTAAGAATAAATTAACAAGTTATATTCATTATAATCATTATTTTTCTAGTTATTTAATTTAAGATCATTATTTATAGATTATTGATCAAATCAAATAGCAACTGATCTCTCTAGATATTTTCTTAATATCATAATCTTTCTGTTATTGATAATTTTATTAGTTTTTGTGGCTATTTTGAAATTATGTAACCATTCAACTAGATTCTGATCATTATTCTTAAATTTATAAATTAGGATAAGAATCTTTTTCATTCTCTGAATCTATATAGATTGAGTTAATTCTTCAAGAGCTTGAATAAGACTGTCCATTCTATCTGATATAATTATTTTTCTTTTAGATTAGAACTTTTGAAATTGAATTTATTTAATTGTAACTATTGACTTTTCAAAATCTTCTGAACTATTACTTTTATATTCTGATTCTGTTAATTTATTAGTTGAGAAGATTTCAAAGTTATCTATCTCTTCAAGAATAAGAAGGATATTATTAACTAGATAGATTTGT